TTTAGAGGTGAATCACATCTGTTTCCCTATTCGTCCACTGGTGGACATCTGGGTGTGCCCACCTCTTGGCTATTGTCAATCTCACCCCTCTGACGGACACGTGTTCTGACAAGCACTCTGGGGCACTCTCAGTCTCACTAGGCTTTGAGAGGTGTTTGGAATAGATACTGTGACCATGATGAGGCCCCAGCCCCCAAAGTCGCTCCCTGGCAGGCAGCCCCAGGCATTGGGTGAAGCCCTGAGCAGCTAAAGAAAGTAACTGTGGTCACCCATACACACGTACATTTTCTGGGAGCCATACTAAAAAAATGGGGGGGGGAACCCAGTAAAATTAATTATAATCCTATACGTTATCTAACCCAAAGTATCCCAAATACCATACCATCACTGAAGCTTATGGTCAACATAAAAATGAAGAATGATATTTTGAGCGTCCTGATTCAATACTGAGTCTTTGCACTGTGGCCCCCAGATGCCACGTCTCATCTGCCACTGGCCATGTACAAAAGCTCCGTGGCCTCCTGTGGCCGGTACTCCTGTAGTGGCCGGGCTGAGTCTGCAAAGAAATGACTTGGGGGCTACCTTCTGTGCTGGACAAATGGGGGGAATCTTACCTTGAACGGAGACAGAAGCCCAGCGTGGGAGAAGGAGCTGCCTGGCTTCAGTCCCGGCCAGGGGTGACCCGGCCCTCAGCTGCTTTCCCGTATGGGCTGCGGGAAGTGTCCCCACACAGAGAAATGAAAGCTCCTTCTCCCCACTCAGCTGTTTTATAGTCTCCAGACGGAGCCCCACCCCAAACACACCCAACGAGGGTCCTGTGGGGTAGAAGCCAGGCAAGGACCCCTTGTCTCTCTCCCTGCCAGGCTGCAGTGCTGGGGCCAGCTGCCTCCCCACCCCCAGAGCAAATTTTTTCTTTGGAAAAAGAGTCATTTTCCTGTTCTTGCTTTTCTGCCAGTGTTATCCTGTGTTATAATTATAATTATTGCTTACGGTTCGAAGCATGGTTGGGCAACTTCCTGCCATAACAAATCCAGCCCGGAGGGCACGGTTGGTGGTGCCAGGGGGCTCCTGTATGCTCCATCAGAAAGCCCCCCAGGACAGGGAGGTGACCCTGGATGAGGTGGGGTACAGCCGGTATTGGGGCATGGCCAGTCCACGCCCCAAGCTGTCCGGCGCTGGAATAATCTGTTATTTCCTTTTGCTTCCTGAAGCCTCCGTTAGTTGCCCCTCATGCTGCCTTCTGTCACCTCTGCCCCGTTCTGGGCACAGCGCCCAAGTTCCCGCTCAGCCCTCCCCTCCCCACAGCCTCCACCATGGGCTCTGCTCATTGTGTCTTCTCAACTGCTGGAGCTGGGCTTCCTGTCTGTCCTCCCCAGGCCCCAAATGTACATCCGCCTGGAAAAAGGGTCTCTGCACAGATGTAATTACTTAAGGATTTCAAGATGAGACTCATCCTGGATTAGGGAGGGCCCTAAACCCAGTGACAGGTGTCTTTGTAAGGGACAGCAGAGGAGACACAGACACAGAGGAGAAGCCACGTGGAGATGGAGGCAGAGATTGGAGTGATGTGGCCACAAGTCCAGGGATGCCTGGAGGCCCCAGGAGCTGGGAGAGGCAGGAAGGAGCCTCCCCCGGGGCCTGTGGAGGGAACAGCCCCGAGACACCATCTCCTCAGACTCCTGGACTCCAGGGCTGGGGCAGGGTGAATGTCTGTTGTTTTCTAAGCCCCCAGTTTGTTTTGGGAGCCCCAGGACACTGAGATGCCAAAGCATCTGGTGTGGACCTGTGTCTCTGCCACCTGAACAGACTTTTGGAGGTGAAAGTCCCTTTTGCCCCCAAGAGAAGGCCGGGGACCCCCCCCCATCTCATGCCCTCTAGGGTAGTCACACACTGGGCCCGAATACAATGGCATTCCTGGTGGTAAGTGCTTGCTGTGGGATCCCTCTTGTCCCTCCAAAGAGTCTCACTTTCTGGGTGCTCTGGACTCTCGGGGGTGATGGGTGGGCTTAGGGAGGATTCTAGCTGTGGAGCTGCAGGGCCCTCCAGTCCAGTCCAGGCTGAGTGCTGGGCTGAGGAGACAGCCCCTGTGGACCTCAGGGTGCACCCAACACCTGTGTCAAGCTTTGAGGGCCGTTCTGGGGAACACGAACGGGCCATTTCCCAGAACCTCTGAGGCGAAGACCAGCCACCCAAGGGCAGAGTTGACAGAGCGGCCAGAGGAGACAAAGAGGAACTGGGTGGCTTGTGGGAAGTGCTGAGGGCTGCCAGATGGGAAAGGACAGAGACAACCTCAGGAGGTCACCCTGGGGGGGGACGGTGGAGGCTCCTCCCAGACCTGCAGACCTAGAGGTAGGAGGGGTGGGCAGAGGACAAGTGGGTTGAGTGAGGCTTGGGGTACACACAGCAACACTCCCTGCACCCAGGACACTACCAGGTGGGACGAAGGGGCTGTGATCCTTCCTTCCCCTAATGTTCTTCCTTCCCTCTTTCCCTCCTTCTTTCCTTCCCTCATTTCTTCCTTCCTTCCTTCCTCCCTTTCCTTCCCTTTCTTTCTTTGAAAGAGTCTTGCTTTGTCATGATAGGTAGAGTGTGTCACAGCTCACAGCAACCTCAAACTCTTGGGCTTAAGCGATTCTCTTGCCTCAGCCTCCTAAGTAACTGGGACTACAGGTGCGCGCCACAATACCTGGCTATATTTTTTGGTTATAGTCGTCATTGTTGTTTGGCAGGCCTGGGATGTATTTGAACCTGCCAGCTCTGGGATAGAGCCGCTCAGTTATAGGCATCAAGCCAGCCCTTCCCTCCCTCCCTCCCTCCCCCTCTCTCTCTCTCTTTCTTTCTTTCTTTCTTTCTCTCTTTCTTTCTTTCTTTTTTTTCTTCTGTTCTTTCTTTCTTCTTCCCTTTCTGTCTCCCTCTCAACCTCCTTCTTTCCTTCTTCTTTTTTCTTTCTTTCAACACAAAGACAGACACAGAGAGAGACAGAACAGAAAAGCGTGGAGAGAGCTCATGTCCCATTGGTCCAAGAAATGCAGCCGTCCCTGGCATTGCTGAGATCCAGGGGCACCGCACACACCCCGGGAAGCCTGAGGCTGGGGAATTGGGACCCCCGGGGGTGGGGAGGGTCAGCAGGGCTGACAGGAGGAGCCCGGCTGGACGTCTGCATGGTTTGTCCACCCACCTCCCCCAGGTGGCTGCTGAGACTCAGAAACAGTCCACGGTGAGTCTTGGAGGCAGAGAGACTCACTTCTGTCCAAATGTGGAGTCTCATTCATCACACTTGGGTGTGAGCAAAGATGGCCAAGGATCAAAAAACTGAACACCAAGAGCAATACCGTGGAAAATCAACTCACCGGGAGCAATTCATTAGGAGGAGAAGATTTTTTTTTTAATTATTAATATTAACAGCAGCAACAACAAACACCTGGGGCCCTACAGGGGGAAAAGGCATATTCAGAAAAACACAAAGAAATTTAAAATGCCATTTAAAAAGTGATAAAAACCCATGCTGTGAGCTGTGTCGCCACGGCACTCTAGCAAGTATGACGTCGTGAGACTCTGTCTCAAAAAAAACCAAAAGTTCATTGTATATCAAATCAGTACACTGAAACCCATAAATGCATCAGTGTACACAGTTATGATTTAATGAGAAAAGTTTAAAAATAACCCAAGGGTTGCCTTGAAAGATAAAGGCTGGGAAAAACTCCTAAGAAGTCTAGAAAAGACCA